ACCCGCTTGAGACCACCCGCTCAATCGTCCCCCGCCTCTACCATATTCCGATTCTGAACCAAATCAGAGATGAACGAAATCGATGAAATCGTCCTCTCCGATTCCGAAGTTGGCATCAGTTTTTAGTTCCTCCCATTTTTCTTCATCTTGTAATTTCACGTAAAGAACAAGTTTCTATCTTCATGTATTGTGGGCAGTTTTTTCTTTGATTTGACGATTGTTGTAATTCAAAGAGAACTTCTGCGTAGTGAATAGCTATAGATATTGCAATATGAACATTATTGTGTCTCAAATCACTAATGGATTGTGCAATTACTTAAGTTTGATGATGCCTAAACTTTACTCAAATTCAGGAGATATGTAAATTTTGTGTATCTTTGCAGAACACTGAGGAAATAGTGAGAGTTGAGATTTGCTGGATGTGGTAAGATTTCATAACAAAAAGCGAGGCGCTTGCAACTTGAATGTATCGTAGCAATCGGAAATATTTTTCTATTTTTTTATAAACTTTTGGTGCAAATACTATGTAGCAAATTTTGCTATTACTTGTCAAAACTTAAGAAGATAAAGATGCTACGAGAGAGAACGTTGGTAGCAGCAATTTAGACTCTGATGGGAAGTAATGGTGAAAGAGAGTGCAAGGGCGCTCCTAGTATTTTGCCACATAAATCTATTGTATATGTATATATTATCAGTTTTAAAAAAGACAAAAAATATAAGTAAAGAAATAAATAAAGAAGAGATATTTCTGTGATACTTTGCTTGTCCCCAAAAGAAAGGTTTTGAAATTAGACGGACTAATAAATCTATTTTGTTTGAAGCATCCATCCGAATCTGATGCATTTCAGTGCTACTTTACAGTGAAACAAATTTAAAGCTTTGGAGGAAGCAATGAATTATTATAGTGCTTATGCACTATTAATTGGGTTTCGGATTAGAAAAGGATCTAATTATTTGCCTAAGAGAAAGAATGTCATCACAATGCAAGTATTTAAATGCTCATGAAGGTTTTCCTAAAAATAAAGGGAAGGAGCGATTACTTAGGGATAACAAATTCGAGAAAAGTCCTTCGAAGGAAATATCTAGTATTCAAACTGGTTGCAAAGCAAGTATGTGTGTGAAATTAGATGATGAAGAAAATTGGATCATATCATCCTTTGAGAAGAAGCACAACCATGAATTAGTACCGAGCCCCTCAAAATCTCGTTCCCATCAGTGTCGGTGAAAGATTGGAGATGAAGAAGCTGACTTTATACGAACCATGTATGAGCAAAATATTTCAACAAAGCATATTAGGGACTTCATTGCATCTCAACGTGGAGGGGTTCGTAATTTATCATTCACGAGGAGGGACCTAAGTAACTTTGCAACATGCCAAAGAATGTCTCTTTTTGAGAGTGATATCTCAACAACTCTAAGTCACTTACAACAACTACAAGCTAAGAATCCTATGTTCTTTTATGCAGTCCAGATTGATAGTAATAATTGTGCAAAAAATATGTTTTGGGTTGACGGGAGATTAAGGATGGCCTACCAGCATTTTGGAGATGCAGTCACTTTTAATACCACCTATTATACAAACAAGTATAGTATGCCATTTGCACCATTCATTAGGGTAAACCACTATTCTCAAACTATATTATTTGGTTGTGCTTTGATTAGAGATGAGACCGCCAAATCCTTCATATGGGTGTTTCGAACATAGCTTAATGCAATGTTTGGTAAGCATCCTACTTGTATTCTGACAGATCAATATCCTTCAATGAGGAAAGCAATAAGTGAGGTCCTTCCTAATATGGCTCATCGGTTTTATAAGCGGCACATTCTTCAAAAAGCACGCGAGCATCTAGGCATTTTATTTGGCACAAAAGAGAAGTTTCAAGAGGACTTTCTTAGTTGCATCAATTTTAGCTTAACAGTTGAGGATTTTGAGTCAAGTTGGACTACTATGATAGAGCAATTTTAGCTTAACAGTTGAGGATTTTGAGTCAAGTTGGACTACTATGATAGAGAAGCATGGAGTTGAAAGATAACACACATCTAAAACATTTGTATCAAATTCGAGATAAGTGAGTACCATCATACTTTAGAAATATATTTTATGCTTTCATGTCTACAACGCAAAGAAGTGAGAGTTTTAATGCACTTCTCAAAGGTAGAGTCAATACCCATACAACAATTTATGAGTTTGTCATGCAATATGAAAAGGCTTTAGAAGATCGATTTGATGTAGAAGAGGAAGAGGATTTTCGCTCTCTGCAATACAAGCCAAGTTCATGGTCTCCAAGCCTAATAGAGAGGCATGCACAAAAGATTTATACTAGAGTAATGTTTAAGGTCTTCAAGGATCAACTGAAAGAGATATTTTTATTTTCTCTAAATGAAATGGAGCCTAAAGTATTGTACAAACTAGTGCAAGTCCTAAACTCAAACAAACCAAGTGCTAGAAGAAGAACTTATATAGTTACCTTCCAAGCCCCTACGACAGTATCTTGCAATTGTAAAATGTTCGAATTTAGTGGAATGGTGTGCTCGCATGTGCTTAAGGTGCTTTTGCATCTTGATATCTTGGAAATACCCTCTGAATATATTTTAAAGAGATGGACAAAGTCAGCTAAGGAAGAAAGTTTTGATACACACCAATGTCTTAGCACTGAATCGTCAAATTCCTCCTCAAAGACTCTAACGTTTAATAGTTTGTCTCAAAAAATAATAAAATTGGTTGTAGAAGGTTCCACGTGTATTGAGTTGTATAATTTGGTAAATAAAAAATAGATCAAGTTGTGGGAGAATTAGAAGCGACAAAAATGCACTTACTAGAGAATAAATCGGGGCATGACGACATGATACAAATCCAAGGTTTTACATGTTTTCAAACACAAGAAAGTATTAGTGATAATAATTGTATGGTGAGAGCTCCTTCTATTTCAAATTGCAAAGAAAAAAAGAAAGATGAAACGTTTCAAGCCTCCTTCAGAGATGAAAGCTAAGAAGCAAAGAACTTGTGGGAAATGTCATGGGAAAGGTCACAATAGTCGAGCTTGCAAGGTAAAATTACTTTTTTAATTCTCAGATGTGGGACAATGTTCCTATGCAAAGTATGAAATTTCTATTTTTTTATGATATTTGTGCAGGCCCAAACAACAAGTCATGTAGGAAGCATCAATGAGGAAGAAGAGGAAGATCCGGAAGACCAAGAAGAAGAGGATGAAGATGTTGAAGAATATTACTACTAATAACCAATTCTAATCTTTCTTTTATTTGTCAATGTTCTTTCGAAGCTCTCTGGATATGTGAAGTTACTATATGGATCATTTTCTTTTTTTGTCAATTTTCTTTTGTTTGTCAATTTTCCAAATTGTTATTTTCTCATTTAGAAGGATCACTAAAATAAAATGTTTTTAGCTTCTTTTAATTAAAATATTTTTTCTGTTTAGAAGATCAACTAATAAAGTTCTGTTGTTGTAAGACATTAGAGTACTATTATATTCAATCCTAGAGAAGGAAATAATAAGACAGAGAATGACTCAGTTGATACGTCAAAAGTTTAAGAACAATGTTCTTTTTATGATTGCTCTTCTCTGCAGTGGATGCCAGTTGAGGAATATGCAGTCCTGTATAAATTCTGAAGTACAGGGAAGTATCAGAAACCATCTTGGGCACAAATTCTGAAGTACAGGGAAGTATGCAGTCATGTCTCCTTTCGCTTGTTGAAGAGGAGTTGAGAAACCGCTACTTTTAATCACAATACATAAGAATACAAAACAATCACTACACATAAGAATACAAAACAATATAATTTCCTCATATGTGAACACATTGCAAGGATGGTGGTTTCTGCAGATAAATATCTCACCGTTAGAAAGGACATGTTGATAGAGGAAAGGTTTTTCGGTCTTGAAGTGAATCGACCAACAAAAAGAAAGTCATCAGCCCACGTATACAAAGAAATACCACAACCCAGCAAAACTACCACGAAACAGAGAGGTATCAAGTCCCATAAGACAGCAAAACTCGCAGCATGCAGACATCGCAAACAGATACCAGAACTAAACACCAGTACTCATGACATATCAAAACTTCTGCTCTGGAGGCAATCACAAAACCCAACAGGCATTTCAGAACTTAATCATTAGTTTCTCAAACTTTGAACCATATCCAAACAAAAATAAGAAGATATACTTCTAACAAGCAAATATGCATCCGGAGGACTCACAACACAAGAATTTCATAGACACTACAGAATACATGTTTTTAGATATTGTATGACAATGTAAAAGTCCACTCTCATTCATATGTAATGTATATATGGAATCTTAATTTGTAGTGTTTATGAAAGCTCTTCCAGGCTAACGATTAGCGAGTGGTCCATGCCTTCAAAGCAGCTGCATCGCACACCATCGAAAGGATTTATGAGGTCTTTCCTAATGTACAAGAGATTTAGATTTTGGGGTGGTGGTGGTGGTGGTGGTGGAGGGGGGGGAGGGGGGATCAAGAATTCCAAATATTGGTGCAGTGGTATAAATAACATATTGGGTCACAAGTAATGACATTAGGTAAGAAACCCAATCAGGTGCAACATTTTTTGCACTTTAAATTGATTAATACAAATATTGCAATTTTGACATTTACCAGATATCGGCATACAACAACAATGACCTTGCTGTGGAAGCCAAACAATCAAACCAATGTGCTACGAGAAATCAAATCAAACGAACGTCGAGAGAAGGCCAAACGAACCAAATCAATGCCACAAACACAAACAACAAATTTTAACGTGGTTCAGCAAGTTGCCTAAGTTAACAGGGCAAGAAGGGGATAGAGTTTTTCACTAATAGAAAAGAAGAGTACACATTGAGATTACAAATCACTCAAACTCACCAATTAATCTCACCAACAAATCTCTAATTCTCTCCAAACAAAACTCTAACCAATAGCTCAGAAAATACCTCTTTTCTGTGCTCCAAATATCCCTAATTTTCTTCTCAATTCTATCTTCCAATTATTCCATGTATATAAAAATCCTAAAATCATAAATATACTAGGAATTCTAAAACAAAAAAACAAAACAGATTAGGAATCCTAATAACATGTTACCAAAACAGATTTGGAATCATGTTACCAAAACAGATTAGGAAACATATTAGGAACCTGCTATCCAACAATTCTCCACCTCGACGAAGTTTTTCCAAAACTAAGCCGACACCAATACCAACCAAACGTCTCACTTGTTGCGTCCAATACGAAGTAGAACAAATCCACGATAACGGACTCAATCCACAACAAGTCGAGAACCTAAACGAAAATGTGAACAAACTCCAAATGTCGGTATCAACTCACCAAACCGGCTGCATCATAAATGACTACCTATGTATCCTCTTGCCAAGGGAATCAAGCTTTCACGTAGTTCACCCAAACAGCCTCCAAAGGCCCTCATTCAAATAGAAAAGTTTGCAACTCTTCAATAATATCACCACGGATCTGTAACTGATAGCATTCCCAATGGTCCCAAACCGAAACAAATCAAACACCTCTACCTGAGGTGAACCAATGGTCGTATCCAAAACATATCCACCAGCTGCACTTGAATTCAAAACCAACTTATCATCTTCATCCAAATCCAAATGATCTCCAAATTGTGTCACCTCAGCTAGAATCTCAAATGATGCAGTATGATCAGGAGTATGTGGAGTAATCTCCACCCAATGTGAAATAGCATCACCCTCCACCCGCTGTGATATCCCAATGATCTGATCAACACTCTCCACCTGCCAAGAGTTAAACGTGACATACATGCTCAGAACAAAATCAGAAGATCCTAACTGATAATCAAACGAACCTCTGAATCCCAAACGTGCAATCGGATCAAATCTCACATTCTCGATGTGACCAAATGCTGGGAAACCAAATATCCGATGCAACCCAAAATCTGAAGCAGCTCCACCAGATCCAAAATCTCCACACGTAGCAGTCGGCAACCTATGACCAAGATGACCCAAATATGTTGAAGCTCCAAAACCAAAACCAATGCTCGATAACCAACGTCGATCCCCCTCCAATAAGGAATGACCCATCAAAACTGTCATCTCATCTCGTCACCCTAATGTCTCCACATCAATAAAGTGTCTCAAACTGTCATGAGCTCGGTAAAAATACAAGAAAGAACCCCTACCAAAGCTAGAACGACGGGTTACCTTTCTGCCAATATACTTTTTCCAATTGTTATTAACTTCTAGGATTTCACACCAACGGGACCTAGTTGCAACCTACCAAAGCTTAGAACAATCCCCAACTACGAAAACCAAATACCGATTACCTCCTAATGATGCCTCCTTGGAAGGCCCCCAAATACCTAACTGAACACCACCTAAAAGACCCCTCGATCGATGGATAGAAGTGTCAAACTCCACCTCGGTCTTCTTGCTCATACCAATATGCTCAAAGGACTTCAGTCTGTAGGTCAAAACACTCCTCAACAAACCATGCACGACATAACCAATCAAATAACTCAGCCTCAACAAATACCACAGTCTAGGCAAATCCAAAGAAGTCGTCAGCTCTCTATCAAACACCATGCTCCTAATGAAACAATACAAAACGCCCTTCATCACAATCATGGACCCCAATGTGATCTTCAAACGTGAATCGACTAAGGTCACCCTATAGCCTACTACCTCCAAAACTCCAAGTTTAATGATGTTCTTATTCAACTGAGAAACGAACCTCACTCCAACCAACTCCTGAATCACTCCGTCATTCATCCTAATCCAAACGGTACTGATACCACCAATAGAACATTCATGATCATTATCCATGAGCATGAACTCCCTTCTTTTCAACTCCTGGAAGCTGGAGAACAAATCCCTCCTAGGATAAATATGGTAAGAAGCACCCGAATCCAACATCCACTCTGTAGAGTCGGCAACACAAACGGATGATAGTGCAGATAACGAGTAGCCCGAAGAATCCGAATCTGAATTATTATCACTAGCCTTGACAACATTCACCTCTCAAGCTTGAATAGCTTTCTCCTTATTCTTCCCGGCTCGATCAACCAACTTTGGGCATTCGGCTTTCCAATGTTCATCCTCTTTACAAAAGGTACACTGATTCCTACGAACTCTAAGATGTACCCTTCTAGACTGCGACCTCCTACCACGGTTTGGACTCTTTGCTCTTGCGACCAATGCCCATGCTACCGACTCAACTGAAGTCTCCTTATCCTTCTTTCGAAGCTAATAATTCACAAATGCAGTGGTGACCTCACTATAAGAAAGAGATGTCTTCCAATTAATAAGAGTAAGAACAAAGGTCTTATATTCCTCGTCCGCCAAGGAACTCAACAACAACAACGTCTCATCCTCATCTTCAATCATCACATCTACATTCGCTAAATACGCAAGAAGCTTCGTGTAGTAGTTCATGTGATCACCAATGGAGGTCCCCTTCTTCAATTGGAAGCGATAAAGCCTCCTCTTTAAATGCAAGCGGTTCTATACACTTTTGGTCAAATACTTACCCTCTAGGATCTCCCAAATCTTCTTAGTCGAAGTCTCATTGATCATATCATATTTTAAATCTTAAGTCAAACAAGATCTAATCACACCACACGACGTTCTATTCATTTTTTTCCAAATCTTCCCCTCAATTTCGTCTGGTTTCCCGTCCAACTCCAAAGTATTTTCCAAATTTTACGCATTGAGCGCATCCAAGACTTCACATCTCCAAAGACCAAAATTATGTGTTATTAAACTGATCCACATCTATCTTCATAGAGTGGATATTCAAACTTTAGACGGTCTTCACGCCGGAAGTACCCTCCACAACTCATTCTTTCCTGACCATCTTTCTCAAAGCACCAAAACAAATGCATAACAAATGAAGAATAGATCCAAAAATGAAAAAGATAGAGTCTTTATCAAAAAGATCACACATTTATCACCAAACGAAGCCGTAGGCGAGCCTCCAAAACAACCTACTCCTCCAAATAGCCCAAGCGTAGCCCGAGCTCTGATACCACTTGTTGAGCGCTACGGAAACCAAACAACCAAACCAACATGCTACGAGAAATCAAATCAAACGAACGTCGAGAAAGGCCAACCAAACAAAATCAATGCCACAAACATAAACAACTAATTTTAACGTGGTTCAGCAAGTTGCCTACGTCCACAGGGCAAGAAGGGAATAGGGTTTTTCACTAATAGAGAAGAAGAGTATAAACTAAGATTACAAATAA